GTAAGTGCTGTGCTCTGTCAGGGCTGTAAATCAGTATGTCGTCCAGATAAACGATGACGCACTTATCTAAAAGCGGGCGGAATGCTTCGTTCATGGTCATTTGGAAAGTGGCGGGGGCGTTGGTCAGTCCGAATGGCATGACGGTGTATTCGAAGGATCCGTAGCGTGTTCGGAATGCGGTTTTAGGGCAGTCGGGTGGGTTGACGCGGATTTGGTGGTAGCCTCCTCGGAGGTCGATTTTCGAGAAAACCCGGGCTGTGCGCAGTTGGTCGATCAGTTCGTCGGCTCGTGGGATGGGGTAACGGGATTTGATGGTAACCCTGTTCAGTGCCCTGTAGTCGATACACATGCGAAATCCCCCGTCTTTTTTCGGTGTGAACAGTATGGGTGCGGCGAAGGGCGACGAACTAGGGCGAATGAATTCCTTCTCGAGCAGGTAATCGAGCTGCTTCCTCAGTTCGTCTAGTTCGGGTTGGGTCAGTCGGAATTGTCGCTGTACTGTTGGCTGTGCCCCCGGTTCCAGTTCTATCCTGTGATCGTGCGGTCGCTGAGGTGGCAGTCCCGTCGGTAAGTCATCCGGGAAAATGTCACTGTACTGTTTTAACAGTGCCGCCAGGTCACTCGGTACGTCGGTCAGCAGTTTCTGTAAATCGCCCCCCTTGTCTGCTGCCTCGGCTTCCCGAATGTCAACCGCGTACACGTCAGCTCCGGCCGCAACAGCGCGTTTCATCGTGATCGCGTTGACACGCACCGACGAAGACTCAGGCGAGCCCCAGCGAGGTAGGGCGATGTTGTTACCGTTTACTCGCACGGTGCAGTCACCCGTCGTCCAGTCAATTCGCGGATTGTGTCGTCGCAGCCAATCACGCCCGAGTAAAATGTCGGTTCCGTCGAGGGTCGTTGCGAGCATTTCCTGGCTAAACGTGAAGTTACCCCCGCATCGAATCCGAACTCGGTCTACGCGTTCCCGTATTGCCAGCGGCGTGCCGTCTACCAGTCGTGCGTCGATCTCAGGTAAGCATCGGTCCAGTGGCAGTCGCAGTTTTCGTGCTGTAGCAGTGTTAATGAGGCTGTGGCTGGCTCCCCCGTCTACGAAGATTTTAACTAAGTTCGTCCCAATTTTCCCACTGAGCAGTATAGGGCTATCTACCGTGGTACCCTCCTTATTCGGCCGGGTGTGGTCGATTGCGTGAACCGGCACAATCACTCGGTGAGGGTCGGTTGGGTCGCGCGAGCGGCGTGACCTGTCAGTAGAGGGCCCGTCTGCTACTGACTTCCAGCGTTTCCCTGCTGCTTGGTCTGTGTCTGCTGCTCAGCTTCCCCCTTTCCCTTAGCGTTTTCCGGGCATTCGCTCTTGCGATGTCCCGGCCGATTGCACGCAAAGCAGCGCCCTTTGAACGGTGCGGCAGCGGCATTTGCGGCGACGGCGCGTATCGTGGCGCTCTCGTTCGTCCCACGAGGCCGATGTCCCCAGGTGTTGCTTCCGTAGGACCCCGGTCTCGGTCGGCGAAAGAAGTCGAGCTTCTCCGCCATAGCGAGAATTTCCTGAAACTCAGTGACGCCGCGAAGCTGGATTTCCTGAGCGATGTCCTGCTTCAGGCCGCCGATGTAGCGGTCGATGCGTTCACTCTCATGCATGTAGCCCACCTGCTCGCATAGCGCCAGAAATCCGCTCGTGTAATCCTGGACGGAACCGAGTTGGCGCCAAGTGCGGAGCTTCTGTCGCGCCGAGATCGAGGCCGCGATTGGCTCAAATCGAGCGCGCAGACCTGCGCACCACGCGTCCCACGTGCGATACTGGGGCACCTCCACGAAATACGACGGCGCCCAGGGTCCGGTTTGTCCTTCCCGTGTCGGTAGTGTCGCGTAGTCGGTCGGCTTCGTGACGATGACGCGCCACCAGTCCATGGCGGGTCCTCGCAGCAACGACACGGCGTATCGGATCTTCGCCGAGTCCTCCGAGACGTTGTTGGCGTCGAAGAAAACATTCATTGTGAATAACCACGCCTGGACGGTAGGACCACCCCGTTGACTCGGGTCAAAACATGGCGGGCGCTGCGGCTTCAGCGGCATCGGTGACGGCAGTCCCGAATCGTGGGTTGGTGCCGAAATCGTGACGCGAGGCTGACTTGGGGCCGCAGGCGTCGCTCTGGGGTGTGTCGTGCCGTGGTCGTCGTCTCCGTCGGGGCGGACGACGCCATCACTGGCCGCGCTCGCGGGTTGCCCCACACTCCCGTGTTGTGATGTTGAGGGTGCGGGTTGAATCGGAGTGCCAGGTGCTTGAGATTGTGCTCTCAGGAGGTCATTTTGCAGTGATGAGCGTTCTGCCGTCAATGCCGCGATTTCCTCAGAGCTTTCGTGCAGTTGTCGCAGCAGATCGTTCAAACGCTCCTGCGTGAGAGTGGTGACGTCGATGTTTTCGGCCATGACGAAGGGCGTCGGCTCGTCTTAGTCTAGGCGCAGTCGTGGCTGCACGCGTTTACGAGAGAACGCGAGGACAGCGGCTCCTAGGGGCTAAGGTGCGTGAGTCCCTTCGAGTGAAAAATCAAAAGTTGATTTCCTGGTGTGCGGAGATGCGCGGTCCGAAAGAAAGGGGCTCTGATAACCAAGTGTTACGGGTGCAATGAATCGAGGTAGCGAGAATTGCACTAAGGTGTCAAACGAGTACAAAATGTGAGCGAAGGCATGAGCGAACATTTATACGCGAAACATGCAAAACGGTAACGCGGTGCGTGCAAACTTGCTAGTGCTACGCTGGAGCGAGGCTCGGGCTAGTCCCGAAGCGTGGGCCGATACGGCCATGCCAGCAGTGCGAGGTTTGGCAAAACAGTGCGCGCGAAGTCGGCGAAGTCCCGTTAGCAGTAACGGGCGAACAATCGGCTGTTGCTGTACGCGATGTAGTCGGCTTCGTAAGGAATGCCGAGAAAATTCCTTACAGCAATCCTCGCTACCTAGATTCATTGCACCCGTAACATCCGGCTTGTTGTGATATAATGTATGAGAATACACTGATACCCATTACGGGCGAATTCCGTTTGCATACAAGTGATATCGGAAATTATATATACTCGCCAAGGCACGGACGGACAGGCGATGCTTGTGACTGGAGGGTCGTTCACTACCACCAACCGAAGTTGTCGCCTGTCTAGAAGCATTTGACTAGTACGCACACAATTGCGGAAATGCTAGTCGCACGAGTAGTCTCACAATTGGAACAACTTGTCGCAAACTGCATTTTTGCAACGCCGAGACGAAGCTGAACCGTCCTGGAGACGTCGCACTAGGAAACTTGTTCACCAATATCAGCCACAGTTTCCATTCCCGAACCGCTTCCAGGCTCAGCCCCTCCGCCGCCCCACCATCGCCCCTCTGCTTCCGCGCTCTGGAAAGCCGCCTCGATCGATATCATCGATCTGCGCTTGCCCAGTGTCTCTGCGGCGTGGCGCGAGCATGCGAGAGGTAGCGCTAGCCACCGTTTGGGTCCTCCCTGCAAATCCCCGCCTCCGACAAGATCAGAACCATTCCGCTTTCGGCGGAAAAAATTGCGCCCAAATATTTAGACCGACGGGCAAACCGACGTTGGTCCACACCTCGCTCACTCCACCAAAACTGGCTTGGGGAGTTCAATTCGAGACCAGCGCGTGCAGCTTGGAATTTCGATGTGCCTAGCCCAGTTTCCCTACGTACCTCCCTCCCTACCAATTCCGCCGAGCCACCACCAACCTTTCCCCAGCCCTTCCGTACCTCGCCAGCGCACCGGTTTGAGCCCCACCATCTCTGTTCGTGTTGGGTTTTCCGCCGCCGTCAACCCTGGGCTGACCTGGCTCCTAGGGGCTCGTGCCCTGGGTTTTCTGCGGGCGCTGCAGAAAAAGGCGGAAGCGGAAAAGGCGAGATGGGCGGATGGAGAAACAAGCGCAGCAACCAGTGAGGCCGAGACGAGAGCAGATCAAACTCGGAGGGGCTTGTTTGACACGTCTGGAAAACTCACCTGGTTTCCTGTGTCGATACTGTTCAGGCGTGGTGCTCGCGCTGGTGATGCAATGTGTAGTGTGGTCTGATATGGTTTTCTGTGTTAATGTACGGTACTGTGTGAGTGTGGAGGAGTCAACACCAATCTACCATGACCGTCATCCTTCGTCCTTCCTCGATTCTGCCTTCCGCTTTCGGCATCCCGCTTTCTCCTCCCTGCTTTCGTCATCTGTCATTCTTCAATGCTTGTTCAGCCTTCTCTCCCCGCTCCTCGCGTCTCGTGACTGACCTCACTCATCTTTATTCTCCTCGCCAGTTTAGCTCAGTTCTGACCTAGATGGCGACCACCTCGCGTGTGTCGTCTACATCCAAATCGTTTGTTCGTAGTATTTTTTCGTGAAGCGTTTGTCGAATTATACGCTTTACTACCGTCTCCAGTGGAAGTTAGGGTTTGTGCGAATCTGTTGGATGGACTGCAGAATAAGACTCTCCTGTTAGACCATCTGCTGGTTAGGCATTATGACGAGGCGGGAACCTCGTCCTAGATGGCACTGGTTGATAGGTTTCGCAGTGCTACTATCCTTTCCATGTAGACAACTCGCCTCTCGACCAATCCGAGAGAAGCTACTAGATTCCGAACTCCCCCTTTGGGAAGACGAGGTGCGTTTGCCGTTACCTGCGACTAAGACATATTTAGTTGTGCTTCCTTTCCGTGTTGCACCACTTAGGAATACTTCATGGGACTGCACGGTACCGTAAATCAGCGGAGACGTGGAACCAGTATGGCGTTGGATCCTCTCTGAAATGTTGAGATTGTATTCTGAATCTACCTTGACTAGCTGAGTAGATACTTTTGACTGCCGTCAACGTTAGAGCCGTCAACGTTTCTGCTCCATTCACTAGAAGCTTCAAGACTGACGCTCTTCTCCGTTTTGCTCTGCCTCACTTATCCGCATGCGCGCTTCATCCCATCCGTCCCGCACCGTTTCCCGCGCCGTCTCCCTCCCGTCTCCCCCTCTCGTTACTACCAGTGGAGTTTGCGGCCACTCGTGTCGGAAATCGTGGAGACCACCGACTTGTCGAATCTCAGGATATTCCCCTCGAATATCTCAGGAACATACAAAGGTGAATCAGGAAGCTTCCTCGCATCAGACGCAGCTGCCATTCTGTCGCATCATGCTGGTTGGTTTCCTTATGGCGGCGTCTCCTAACGCGGATAGCGTGTACCGTGCTGTGTCGCAGGCACATGGGAGGTCGCGCGAAATTCCTCGTCGTCGCGATTCCCGGACCTACAGAAGAACTCTGGAAATATAATTTTTCAATTAAAGACCAGCAGCACGGCTCGTCCCGAGGTTCACTATGTCCATGTGAGCGCCTGCTGCCTCCTCCTTAGATTCTCTAGAACTTTCATATGCTAAGCACGACTTTTGAGGCGCCTCAAAACTCGTCCCGAGGTTCACTATGTCCATGTGAGCGCCTGCTGCTTCCAGCCGATTTGGACGACCTGGATTCTCTAGAACTTCCTATGTGCTAAGCACCCCGCGTTGATCCTGCCGATTCAGATGACAAGGGTAGAGTCTGGATCTACTTCTGGCGGTTTCTTGGTGAGGGAGCCGGTCTTAGCCTGTTCGGGTTCCGGCCTTCGTGTGTGTGAGAGGGGGGAGGGGTGTGGGTGGTGGGGGTGAAGCGCCTGGCGGCTCTTCATTAGCATCCAGAGTGGATGCCAAGGCACATGCGAAGGCACTCGTTGACTGGAAAGCGAAGTTTCGTCGGCTCGTCGCGTGTATTCGTCGCTGCATCCTGATCATTTCGCGACCCCTCGCCTCTGTCAATGCTGCGTACGATATGGTTACTGCCATAGTGGACGCCCGCTTTCCCCCCCCCCCCCCCCCCCCCCCCCCCCCCCGCTCTCTGCGCTGAGACCTGGTCATCATGCTGCTGGTGTGCACCGAGATGGATTGCCCGGCCAGGGCGGTCTTGCGAAACGCGGAAATCATAGATTAATCGTGGTATCATTGCGGAACTGTTTCAATAATGTTTGCGCAATGGCGGTGTTCCCATTATCCCCGCGAATGCGTGGCAGGGAGAGGTGGTGTTGCGGGACGGAATGTACATTAGCGACGGCGACGTGCATATGAAGCTCGAAGGGGTCTACCTGCGCCCCTTCGGCCACCTTAGAATGGTTCTCAGCAGGTGCGTTCGTCCCTTCCCGTGAGTTTCTCGAATCTCTAACTTGATTTTCCTGATCAATTTTTCTTTTGTTTTTCTAGCTCCCATTGTCTCTTCTTTAGTAAATTTGTCGTCCCTCCCCGCCCCTCCCCACCCCCCCCTTCCTCCTCCCTCCCATTCCCTCATTGCGTCATTCCCCCCCATGGTGTTTGCTCTCCCCCCCTCCCCCTTCCCCTCTCCACCCCCCCTCTCTCCTCTCCGTTTTTTCTCCGTGCGCGTCTTATCTTTGCGCGCGCAGCTCGGCGGGAGCGGACTCCACAGAAGTGGACGAAGAGAGCGCCGCCAATGGCTACCAGCTGGTGAGTCCGGAGGGATCGGCTGGTGAGTTCAGTCGAGTGTTCCTGGAGACTTTTCGATGACCAGCTGTTTGCTGGTGAGTTTGGTGGTGTTTTTTTCTGATTGATAACTTGGTAACACTCTCGCTGATTTGATTGTTTGGTTCTGTACTGTTCCCCTGGGACGGCACGGTTGGGACGCTGCACGTGTGCTGCAGGTATTCTTTCCTCCGATCACAGTATGACTCACAGCTGCTGTAACTCGCTCCCTCTCCCTCTCTCGTACCCGATCTCTCCTGATCTCTCCTGCTCGCTCTCTCTGGCTCTCTTGCGCCCTCTCTCTCACGCTCTCTCTCGCTCTGTCGCTCTCTCGCATTCGCTCTCTCTCCCCTCTCTCCCTCGTACGCTCGGCAGGAGCTGCACGACTCCAGTAAACGAGGCCAGGGATCACCAGAACACAGTAAGGCCTTCTACGCTCTAGCCCTCTCCGCCCCCGCTCTCTCCGTCCCCACGCCCTCTCCGCCCCCACGCCCTCTCCGCCCCCACGCCCTCTCCGCCCCCACGCCCTCTCCGCCCCCACGCCCTCTCCGCCCCCACGCCCTCTCCTCCCCCACGCCCTTCCCCCCACGCCCTCTCGGCTTGTTGCCTTTTCGTTGTACCACCGTATTCCATCTCTTCTCGCCGCTCCTTTCATGATAATCCGCCCTGCGTTGTGTTGTGCTGTGCGTGCCATTCTGCCCGCCCGTCTACCCACATCTCAAGTGCCCCTCCCCTCCCGTAACTGACCCGGCCTGTTCTGTCCCTCCGTTCCCCCTTCCCCTTTCCCCCAAACCCCCTCTCCCGCGCCCTCTCCGCGTGCAGCAGCAGTGGCGGGAATGGCGAGGAATTGCAAGATGAGGGTGATCACGCACGTCTCACCGGCCTCTCTCCCCTTGCGCCCCCTCTTCCCCTCCCCCCTGTCCCCACCCCTTCCCCCCGCCCCCACCCCTTCCCCCGTGGTGCGAGCAGCAGCGGTGGTGGAGATGGCGCGGAACTGCAAGATAAGGATGATCACACATGTATCACCCGCCGTGTGGGAGTGGCGAAGTGAGTTGCCCTTCCGCCCACTACCTCCCACCACCCTGCCTGCTTTCGCCCTCTACCTCCCACCACCCCGCCTGCTTTCGCCCTCTACCTCCCCCCACCCCGCCCACTTCCGTCCTCGCCCTTTCACCCTCACCATTCCTTCCTCACGCTTTCCGTCCGCGCATGGCATGTACGAGCCTCACGCCTTTGCTCGCAGTCAACCAACAACTTAATGCCGTGTTTGCCTTCCCGCATCCGTTCCCGCCTCCCCACTCTCGGCCAACCGCTGCCAGTCTTCTCGTTTCCCCGCCTCTCTCTCCCCGCCCGCCCTTCTTTGAGACACCTCAAATAATCGCTGCAGCTCCTTTTCCTCTCTCTTCCTCTCGGCTCCCCTCCTCTCCCCCACCCTTCTCCTGCAACCCACTTCTTCCACCAAACGGAGTGCAGGAGCACGTGCCAATCAGATGCAGGGATTCTTGGAAAGCATGCAACGGGACACGCTTAACCCAGCGTCTCCTCTTTGCTTTTCCCTTCCTCCCCCCTCTTCCCCCCCCTTCCCCACCCCCGTATACACCACCCCGCCTCCACTCCACCAGACGGAGTGCAGGAGCACGTGCCGAGTCAGATGCAGGGATTTGTAGAGAGCGTGCAAGAGGACACCCTTCACCCAGCATCTCCTCCCTCCTCTCTCTTTCCCTTCCTCTCCCTCCCCCCCTTCCCCGCTTCCCCACCCCCATATACACCGCTTCCCTCCCCCCCACCAGACGGAGTGCAGGAGCACGTGCCGAGTCAGATGCAGGGATTTGTAGAGAGCGTGCAAGAGGACACCCTTCACCCAGCATCTCCTCCCTCCTCTCTCTTTCCCTTCCTCTCCCTCCCCCCCCTCCCCGCTTCCCCACCCCCATATACACCGCTTCCCTCCCCCCCACCAGACGGTGTGCAGGAGCACGTGCCGAGTCAGATGCAGGGATTCGTGGAGAGCGTGCAAGAAGACATCAGCGCAGCCGCCTCCTCCTTTGCCTCTCGCCATTCCTTCTTCAGACCAGCTGCTGCTGCCGCCTCAGCAGCTGCAGCTGGTGCCGGTGGTGCTGGTGGTAACGCTGCGGCTGGTGCCGCTAACGCAGCAGGATCGGCAGGGATAGGAGCGGGGCTAGGGCTAGGGTTGGGGGTAGGGATGGGGGGAGGCGGAGGGGGAGGGTTGAGCTCAGGGATAGGGGGCTCTGAGCTGCTGGCGGAAAGCAAGGGGGAACGGGGGGGAATGGGCGGAATGGGGGGAATGGGCGGGGTGGGGGAATCGTGGGAGGCGGACGCTGCTCTAGTAGCAGCAGAGGATCCGGTGGGGCGGAGGGGGGCCATGGGGGGAGGGGAGGGGGAGGGGGAGGCGGATGAGAGTGGGGCGCCGTGCTTTGCGACTCTGCGGATCAACGCCACTGCTGTGGATCTGGAGGCATATTATAATAAGGCCGTCAACTATACCCTCATGGTCACATTCGTGAGTTCCGTGCTTTGAAATTGTGTTTTCGACTCTAGAACATCCCGTGCTTTGCGACTCTGCGGATCAACACCACTGCTGTTGATCTGGAGGCATACTATAATAAAGTGGTCAACTTTACCCTCATGGTCACATTCGTGAGTTCTGTGCTTTGAGGCTCGGGGTGTTGAGGCGCGTCATTCAAAATTGGCCGAGATAGAGCTGGAGAGGGAGATAATGAGATGGTCCACACTCGCCCTCGCCTTCGTAATTCTTGTTCTGTTGCTGCTGCTTCTCTCGCTCTTCTCACATGCTTTCCCTCTCTCCCTCTCGCAATTCCTCCCTTGTTGCCTCCTCCCGTTCTTGCCCATGTGTCTATCCTGCTGCTGCTGCTGCTGCTTTTGCTGCTGCACGTGTGCAGATCTCCTTCCTGCAAGTGCTCTTCATCATTCGCCAGATGGAGCGCAGCAACACATGTGCCCTGTGCTAGCCTCCCTCCGTTAATCATCTGTGCGGCACCTCTCCCCATGTGCCTGCCTGTGTGCTGCTGCTGCTGGCATTGTCTCTATGTGCAGATCTCCTTCCTGCAAGTGCTATTCATCATTCGCCAGATGGAGCACAGCAACACACAATCGGTGCGTCCCGTCCCGGTCCTCTTCCTTCCTTCCGATCCCCCTTATTGTCATTTCCTCTTTCACTATGCGTACATCTTCCCTTCATTCCCATGTCCCCAACTCGATTCGTGGTTCTCTTCTGGTATTTCCTCCGTTCTTCCCATGCGCCTTATTCCGATGCTCCTGCTCTGCTGCTCTTTTTGTTCTCCTCTCTCCATCCTCACCCCTCTCTCACCCATCCGTGCTCTTCGATCGTCTCCCGCTCCTCCCCACCCCCCCCCTCCTCCTCCACCCGTCTCCACATTGCAGGGAGCAGCCAAGGTATCGATGCTGGTGGTGGGGCAGCAGGCCATCATGGGCGATCAGGCTGACGTTGGAAGTACTCGTGAATGCTCATAAGCCATTGCTCTTTCTTGTCCCTGTCTGCTGCATCACCATCACCATCACCATTACCATCACCATCACCATCACATCGCCACATGGCAGGGAGCAGCCAAGGTCTCGATGCTGATGGTGGGGCAGCAGGCCATCATGGATGCGTACCTCTGCCTGCTGCACCTCACAGCTGGCATTGTAGTTGGTAAGCGAAGCTATCCTCGCTATAGTGTGCCTCTGGTCTCCGTGCCCCTCGTTCCCTCCCCGTTCCAGGAGCGGAGTCGCTATTCAACGCCTTTGCAACAGCAGCCTTTTTCAAGTTTGTCATCTTCTCCATATTTGAGATGCGCTACCTGCTCGCCATCTGGAAGGCCCAATGTGCTCATGGCCTCCTAATCCCTGCCATGTGCCCTCTGCTTCCTGTCCTGTGCCCTGTCACCCCTGCCCGTGTGCCCCGCCCGCACCCCGCCCCCCCTGCTCCCTGCGCCCTTCTCCCTGCCCCATGCTCCCCCTTTTCCCCGTTCCAGGAGCGGAGTCCTTATTCAACGCCTTTGCAACAGCAGCCTTCTTCAAGTTCGTCATCTTCTCCATCTTCGAGATGCGCTACCTGCTCGCCATCTGGAAGGCCCGCCGCCCCGCACAGTCCTCGGAGAGCTGGGACCTCATGCGGAGGGAGCTCTCCATCCTCTACTCGCGATTCTGTGAGTGCCTAGCGATTTTGAGAGTGGTGGATGGAAGGAATGAAGGCACGAGGTGATTGCGTGTAGTGGCGGCCCTCCGTGGCAGTTTTCAGAGAGCTGGGACCTCATGAGGCGCCAGCTCTCCATCCTCTACTCGCGCTTCTGTGAGTAGTGGGTGTCTAGCTGGGACCTCATGAGGCGCGGAGCGAGCTATCCATCTTTTACTCGCGATTCTGTGAGTGCCTTGATTGATGGGAAGCAAGGTTAAAAAAAACGACCCTTTTTTTTGAAAATTCACCGTAAAAAACGGTACCGCAAATAATGGCCATAAAAGACGGTAAAAAACGGTTTCAGAAGGAAAAATTCGTTTGAAGAAAAAGTCTGCCATTCTTTGGGACCAAATTGATGGCGAAAGGCACCAGAATGAAGAGGACGAACCCCTCCTTGCATGCGTGCACTTGTGGGCATGATTGAAAATGTATTCAACCTTGTTTTTGCCTTTTTTTTTTCGTGGTGACAAGAGTTCTCTAACAAAAAAACGGTCATATTTTTTAAAAATTATCGTAAGAAACGGACCGTAATTTACGAAAACCGTTTTTTGGAACCTTGGGAAGGATGGCATGAGTGGCTGACTGGTTGCATTTGGTGAGTTGCGAGTAGATGCCCTTATTTCATTCTGCTTCCTCCTGAGCAGAGCAGCAATCTCCTCACCTCTACCTGCCGCTGCTCTTCTTCTCGCCCCTCACTCGCATTTCTTGTTTCCCTTGGCAATCCTCTCCTTCCCCTCCCTCCTCCCCTCCCCCCCCTCACCTTCTCCACCCGTTTCCCCTGTTTTCTTCCCGTTTTGCTACCCCGTTTTCTCCCCTTTGCCAGACGGCTTCCTCCTGGGCGGCATTCTCCTCATCTACCGCTTCAGCACGGCGCTACGTTACCTGCTGCTGCTCTTCTACTCCTTCTGGATCCCCCAGATAGTCACATCCGTTATAAGGGACTCGCGCAAGCCCCTCCACGTGCACTACATTCTCGGCATGTCCGCCACCCGCCTCGCCATCCCGCTCTACATTTTCGGGTGCCCGAAAAACTTTATGCGCGTGGAGCCGAGTCCCGCGTGGTGCGCTGCGTTGATCGCGTTCATGGGAGCGCAGGTGGCGGCGCTGCTGCTGCAGCACTACCTGGGGCCGCGCTGGTTCATCCCCAAACAGGTGGGTGGGTTGCTCGTTCGGGTGTGCTGGTTGATTCCCAAGCAGGCGGGTGGGTTGACTGTGGCTGGAATTGGTTGCTTGTGCGGCTTGGCTTGCTTGTGCGGCTTGTGCGTGTGGAGCCGAGCCCCGCGTGGTGTGCTGCCCTGATAGCGTTCATGGGCGCGCAGGTCGCGGCGCTGCTGCTGCAGCACTACCTGGGGCCCCACTGGTTCATTCCCAAGCAGGTGGGTTGCTTGGTGGCTGGTTGCAAAGTCGCTTTTGAGGTTCCTCTGTAGGGATTCCATTGAAAGTGGCCCCTTGTGCTGCGCTGCGAAGCATGACCACTGCGTCCCTCACATGTGCTTACGTTGCTCCCATGCCTCCCTTCTCCCGTGCTCCCCACCCACCACCGTCCCCACCAGTTGCTCTCTGGAAGGTACTCTTACTTTTGCCTCGTCTCCGGCCTCGTGCGGCAGAGCAGCAGTGCGGATGACATGTTCCTCCTGCATCCGCATGCTCCTCACATGTTCCCATGCGCCCATTCTCTCCACCACCGTCCCCAACCAACCCACCAGTTCGCTCCCTGAAAAGTAGTCTACTTTCCCGCCTCGTGCGCCAGAGCAGGCATACACGGCAGACAATGCTTGCGACTAATTCCCGTGTCCCATGCTCCCCCACCTTGCATCAGCCCTCTGCCTCCCCCTTCTCCGTTCCTCCTTGACAAGTATTCCTACTTCCGTCGCGTGTCATGCCTCATGCACCAGAGCAGTGACGCGAATGACAGTGATATGCATGAACCCTGTACCCCACACCGCTCACATGTTCCCATGCTGCTATGCATGCTCCCCACCACCATCCCCCCCCTCTCCCCCCCCCCCCCCCCCCCCCCCCCCCCAGTTCCTCCCTGAAAAGTATTCCTACTTCCGCCGCGTGTCGTGCCTCATGAGGCAGAGCAACGACGCTGACGACAGCGGGCCGGCAGACTGTGTCATCTGCATGACGCCCGTGCCCATCACCTCCCACTCCATGGACCGCATGGTGAGTCGGCTGGCTTGTTTTGTCTTATTCAAGTCGCATGGTCATCTGCATGACGCCCGTGCCCATCTCCTCGCACTCCATGGACCGCATGGCATGGGGATTGATTTCTGTATGTTTGCATGGTTTGACGTCTGCATGGCATGGCATGGGGATTGATTTCTGTATGTTTGCATGGTTTGATGTCTGCATGGCATGGCATGGGGATTGATTTCTGTATGTTTGCATGGTTTGACGTCTGCATGGCATGGCATGGGATTCCCATTCATGTCAACTCCTCCAAGCACTATTGAGATCTGCATCCCCATCGACTCTCCCCCCATGAATCTTGACTCTTGTACTGTACACTGTCAATCTACCTATCATCACCCCCCCTGTGCAGGTGACCCCCTGTGACCACATGTTTCACACAGCATGCCTGCAGTGTTGGATGGACATCAAGATGGAGTGCTGTTGGGACTTTTCAAAATCCATTTCATTAGCCCCGATACATTGCATTTGTTGCTTATCAACCACCCAGCCCCCCCCTCTCCCCCTCCCCTTCCCCTCCATTCCCCACCCCCCCATGCAGGTGACTCCCTGTGACCACATGTTTCACACGGCATGCCTGCAGCGTTGGATGGACATCAAAATGGAATGCCCCACCTGCCGCCGCTGCCTCCCCCCCGTCTGATTTTCCTCCTCCCTCCCCACCATCCTTCCCCATACCTGATACTCCTCTCTCCATCGCTCTACACCCTATGAGACTCCATTAACACAGCCACCCTTCCGCCACCTCCCTCCGGGTCTCTTCCACTCTCAGTCGGCAACTTATCCAACCATTGTCTTTTCAACTGTGCCATCCCGTCGTCAACATTGCATGGAGAAGGGGTGTAGTAAGGCTTCCACCCTGGTGGATCCCGCACACAGCACACGCGTTATGGGAGATAACAGCCTCTGATTTTGCCTCAAAGAGGCATGGTAGCACTTGCTTGTTGCTGTAAAGTAGCATCAGCTTGTTGATGCACTAACTTGTGTGAAGGAAATGTTGTATTGCTTGAAATAGGAAACTCATAATGCTGCTCTCTCAAGTCAAGCAATTAAATTTTAGGCTAGATTCAGGTATTGTCGGGTCTATTATTGAATTAATAAAGAATAGGGTCAGTGTACCTTAACGTGAATGGATCTTGGTGGTGATGCCAGGTTGGCATCATGCCTCCACAATTTAGACGGACAACACACTCCGCCCGGCCAACGACCTGCACTAAATTACTGTAACTCGTTCAGATTTCCTCGTCCAGTGGCAAGTCCAACAGTGTACACCTGTATTGAACCTTGCCATACATCCTGGCCGCCACCGTTGAAAATGGCAAGATTGCGCGACGCGCCGGCACGCGAACTTTTTTTAATCCTATCAATCAAACTCGCACCGCAGGTAGGGCGACCAGAACCCTCGCTAATGAATCGAGTTACACGCGCTTACGCAAAATCGACGTCCACTTTAATGTGTCATATTTGGTGGTCTTCCCAATTGTCACTGTTTCGCGCGGGATAAAGTTTGCCAGGTGGTGTTCGTGTTTTCGTAAAAACAAGGTCGCAATTGTGGCTACATTGCCGTGACCTTACAAGTTTCGGTTGTTTTGTCTGTTTCTTATGGCGCAAAAATGTTTCGTGCGCGTGTCATGTTTTTCGTCTACATGTGTTCTTCTTTTTGGCGCGTGTCAAACGCGATTTTCTGAAACATCTACAGACCTCTGAATCTAACCAGGGGCTGAAAGAAAATAAACCCCTAAGGCAGGAGCGCAATTTGGGAGGCATCAACCCTAAACACGGGAAGCATGGTGTTTAGGGTTAATGCCTTGAATGTGGTGCAATTAAGGCACCTGTAACGTCGATATGGCCACGTCCGCAGCACGAAAATAACGTGGAAGCGCATGTAGGTCGATCCATTCGGACGAGGTTCGATCACCCTACTTGCGGTGCGAGCTTGGCTGATGGAATAAAAAACGTTTGCGCGCTGGCGCGTCGCGAAAGTTTGCCGTTAAGAATTCTGAAATTCATGGATATTTGAAACAGTAAACCCTCGTCATCTGCATTTATTACTACTTCGCAGTTTGTGCTAGTTAGCAGGCGCTTCGGGCGGGTCCAGCTTTGCAAATGTATGACAATTTTCAGCCCAGTTACCACATTTTGGCATATAACAGAACTACAAACGTACCAGAATCCATTTGACGCGAGACTGTACATGTATGGTGACATTACGGAAACGTGCCCGGGGACGTGCAGAACACGTCCGAAGGTTCACGTCAAACTCGTTCGCGTCAAACACGCCAAAAAGTAACACCGTTTTTCGCTAATTTGTTGTCGCCAATAAATCTCCCCTCCGTCACAGTTGCGAAAACCTCGCTTTATTGGGTAACCCCTCATCCCAAGTACTGTACCCCGCAGCGTTACTGTACCTTGTCAAAAGTCCGACTTGTCCAGTCAGAACTGGACAGGAAATATTTGGAGTTCACCTTGGGGTACAGTCAATTTTGACTAGTGCATTGACGTATGAATAACGAAAAAAACGGGAGTGTGCAAAGCTGGACCCGCCCTTAGAGCCCCCCATTCAAATTTCACAGACAACACCCACACATTTCAGGCCCTCAGTCAGGGAATTATCATGAAGTGGCCCAGCTAGTTAGCTGGTTCGCTTCCGAAAGATTAGGTCCCGGGATCAAATCCCCCTTGCGGCGTCAACAGCCAGTCCCCACTAAAAGGGACTACACAGGTGCTCATCTGGGAGTGGATAGAACAACCTCGTTACCCAGCGAGGCGTGTAACACATGGGGAGGCGGGTTACGACCGACAGCCCGGGTATTACCAAAGGGGGTTTCCCCTATGACTTTCCTTGACTTTTACTTTACCTCGGCCAGGGTATTCATTCGACCCAGTTATGACCCCATGAAAATGGGCAGAATGGTGGCGGAAACTGGAAACATCGGGAATGACGGAGGACCCGTGATACAGTTGGACTCAACAGTAGCGCGTTTACGCGGTTTATTATGACGAGAAACAAGGGGAACCTTATGTAGATTTGTGAATGAGCAGCTAACCCCGAGAACCCAATCGAGTCTGATCGCGACTGATCTGATTGGGAGGGATCTGATCGGATTCCTTGTGATCGCAGTGCCCGAGCCGCGCGATCAGAAATGTTTTTTGAAGAAGGTTGTCAGCGCGCCTGCTCCGCAAGCGCGAAACATTTACCTGACATTTTCGTCCCCATTTTAGCTAGTTTTGACGACCGGACGTCACATGGCGAATATTTTTGTTCAACTGTAAGTACTACAATGTAAATACTCGCAAGCCTCGATGTGGTCCCTGATCACATGCAATCAAGTGTTCGCCTGTGATCGAGGAAAATTGGCTCTGATTGGGGTGAAATAGGGTCTGATCGAGTTTGGGGTGATCAGCTGATCGAGATCAGCTGATTGCCCCCGATTGCATGAAATTGGCTTCCAGGCTTCCTGGAAAGTATGAATTGCGTGTGATCGAGGCGATCAAACTCGATTGGGCCCACGTCCTAACGCTGATGTCGTAAGCTGAACATAAAATTTCGCCACTTTATGGCACGGCGAATAAGTGTCGTTAGCACCAAGCGTCAACACCTGGACTGCGGCAATTTCACACCCTGACATTTGTTTTTTCATGGAAGATTCCTAACCTATTAACGGTTGGAACAAGCAACTACCTAGAATATAGAGGATATGTCGCGTCCGCATATCGGAACATCACCCTGAGTGAAGTCGTCCGTAACATCTCTATTTAATATCAACCATGGGTAGTTGTCTTGGGGTTAAAAAAAAAAAAAAGCTTGGGGTGGAAGTTTGGGACACTGAAAATAGCGCAACTAGATACACAGGCATCAAGGACGACGGAGACTCGAATTATGACATCAGCGGTGTGGGTGGGTGGTTGAGTCTGTCGTGTCAGCCAGTCCGAGATTTTGTAGGAAGGGTTTGCTTCAACACCTAGCCCGGATGGACAGCTGGAATCGAATTCTCCAACTCAGAGGGAATGTCGTGATGTATCGCAGAAAATCCTCCGCACGTGGATTGTGTGTAGGGCGTAGCCGCGTGGATCATTTCCCTTATCGACGGGCACAGGCACAAACACAGGCACAAACACAGGCACAGCCGAGTAGAGACAACGGGCGCAGGCACAAACAGCCTGGAAAAATGAGGGAGGTCAGGTCACACACAGCTCGCTTACAGCTCATGTAAATCATTGTTCAGGAGGGTAAATAGCGGTTCGAAGCGGCGAATTGAACCAGCACATCCAGAGTGCACAACACCGTAGCCAACCGCTTTGATTGTACAAAAATGTGTCCGATCTGAATCCTCCTGCTAACCGCATCTTTCTTTTGCGGGGAGCCCAGCCCACATCCATTTTTAGGTCAAGACTCACAAGCAAGCTTACATTTAGTCCTGCAACGGCGGTGACAATGGCGTCCATCTGCTATTTAGTCAGATTAATTGATTCCTCTTTCTCGCCTTTAGAAATTGCGCGTACCTGTAGGCTGATCTCGTTTGATTTAAATTGACTAATTCAACCATACCAAACCATATATAACCACCCCCGTACTCTTCTCCCCGCGATGTTAACACCGAAGCCGCAATAGCGCGAAACAGGGTGTAGTTAGTCAATCCTCCAGCTGCGACGACTATGGCTTCCGCCGGAGGTTCAGTCGCACGCGCGCATCACGCTCGCTCCTCTTCGGCGTCGGTCGCAGTTATCCCAGCCGAAAGATTCGCAGTCCTGTCGATGCAAACGTCTCTCGGAAATTCCGCCGTTTCGTCCCCCTCAGCTGCGCTCGCTGGTGATCCCGCAGCCAGACTCGCGGAAAGCGCGGACGGTCAGTCCGCCAGACCCGCGCAAGCGCAGGCGGCGGGGGCGACCGTCCCCGTTCCCACGACGGGCGGCGGCGAGTGCGCGGCGCAACCAGGTCGAACGACAGAACCATTCGCCACATCCCCGCTCCCCCTTTCTAGATCTAGTAGTAAAGACATCAACTGCGCGTCGGCGAGTCAAACCGACGGCGTCCATGGCAGCGGCGCGGCGTCAGAGCCTGCGGCGCGCGCCGCCGCATCAAATCCTCCTTCAACTTACGGGCTGTCGCTGCAGCAGCTACAGCATCTCGTCGCGCTCACAAACGCGAACGACAGCCCACGCGACGCGGCCGCAGCCTTCCCGTACGCGGCGACGAGCGACGGGCGGCCCGGCAGAAGCCGCCTGTCGATTAACTCTGCGCAGCGGCGCCTCGATTCGTGGAATCGCGCGCGCGAGCCCGTGGTGGAAAACAGCATAGAGCACATCCGCGCGCAGCGGAAGCTCAAGCGGAGCGGAAGCGACCCCTCGTTGCGGCAATCCGCGCGCGGAGGGGAGGATAGCGTAGGCGGCCCGTCGCGGCCGCTAGAGGGCGTCGTTTCGGAGGCGCGGAAAGTCGCGATGCGCCGGTGGCTCCGCCGCTCGCGGAGCGCGCACGCGTTGGGGGAGAAGGACACCGCGGCGCGCTGGAACGAGGCGATGACGGCCATCATCTGGGGGCGTGGGGGCGCCGTCGTTTTTAGACGGCCAGCCAGCGGGAATTCGCAGGCGCGGCCGTCAGGAGGCGAACGGTTGGGAAACGCGGCACGATACAATTCAGCGTAC